GGTCGGGGAGAGCGTCATGCGCCTCGCGAGGAGCATGCCGCAGGCGGTGAAGGATGTGGCGGCGGAGCTGCAGGCCCGTGCGGAGGCCCGCGCGGCCGTGGAGGAGCGGGCGCAGGCCGCATCCGAGGCGGAGGAGATCGCGCGGGCGAAGAAGCTCCTGGAAGAGAACACGGTGGCGGCGACCCAGCAACAGCGCCGCCGCGAGACGCGCGAGGAGCGGCTGGAACGGCTTCGTCTGGAGCGTGAGCTGCGCGAACGGGAACAACAGCAGAAGCGGCGGCAGCGGCAGCTCGAGACAGCAGCGGCTCGTCTGCACATCAGCGTCGAAGATCTTGAGGCTGACGAGAAGCTCTTGAGGAGCATCGAAGAAAATGCTTCGCATCTCGCCGCGGCGCCTGTTCCGGCGCCCTCGCTCGAGGGCTATCCGAACAAGGATGACCACGAAGAGAGACCAATTGATGAGGAGGACGGTCTTGCTAGAAAGAAGCCCGTTGTGATGTTCTCGAGGCCGGTTATCAGCAACGAGGGCATTGCGCGTGAGATGAAGGAGCTTGAAAAGCTCCAACACGATCATCAAGAACAACCGATGCTCTCACACGCCAATGACGGCATTCGTCTTCCAGAAGAAAAGGAAGAAGACGACGATGATGCGAAGCCCCATACTGGAAAACAAGCTTCACATTCAAAGGGAGCCCGGGGCCCCCGTCATGACGATCTTGAAGATGAGGACGCCAGCTTCGGTATCAATGGCTTGATGCGCAGGCGACAGAGACGGCTCTGAGGTGATTCAATTGCTGAAAACTATACATAACAAACTTGCTAATGCTTTCTCTCACTCTTTGTGTATTGGTATTGCCGCATAAAGCATTCAACTCTTTATTGTGGATAGGCTATCATTGCGTATCTTTTTGAAGTCTTTAGTTTGAAAATGTGCTCCTTTTCTCTCCTCACGTTACCCTTATGTGGTGTGTTCAAGTTATTAGCTACTTTACTAAAGCCGTGTGTGGTAAGAAATGCTACGTACCACCTGGAGCCGGTTGGGGAGCACCATCATTGAACCCCTCTCGGGCTCCAACGCGGCTTATATCAAAGGCAGCAGGTGCTTTGATTTGGTCGTCCGTGAGGTTGAGGCAATCAAAGCACACATCCAAAGCCTTGTAGTGAATAGGCATAACGAAGTCTTAGATTATGCGGGTAAATATACGCTAGCGGGGGGCGGCAAGATGATGCGCCCTGCCCTGGTTGCCCTAATGGCGCACGCCCTGGTGCCGCGTGAGGTTAGCATGAGGTTTTCTGAAAGTGAGATTGGGTGCCTAGATGACATCACACCGGGCACGATCCTGCCTTTCTTGCGGATGGCGGAGGTGACAGAGCTGATTCACACAGCCTCGCTCGTGCACGATGATGTCGTTGATAACAGCGATATCCGCCGCGGGCAGCCCGCCCTGCATAAAGTGTACGACACCAAGCGTGCGGTGCTCGCCGGAGACTATCTGCTTGCCCGTGCGTCTTTCTACATAGCCACTCTGCAGGTGCCGCGGATTGTGGTGCTCATGACCACCGCCCTGGAGGAACTCACGACGGGGGAACTCATGCAGATGGATGGGTGCTTTAGCATTGAACGGTACGAGCAGAAGTCTTTCTGTAAAACAGCCTCTCTAATCGCGAACTCCCTTGCCAGTACGGCCGTCCTCGCGGACCCAGGCAATGAAGAGCTCGAGCTGCTCGCTTTCAGGTTCGGAAAGCATCTTGGGATTGCTTTCCAGATTGTTGACGACTGTCTTGACATTACAGGCAACGAAAAAGAGCTTGGTAAGCCAAAGCTGGCCGACCTAAAGGAGGGTATCGCTACGATGCCAGTGTTGTTGGCTGCGCAGAGGGATCCAAACATTGATACCGCTGTGCGGCGACGCTTCACAGGTGAAGGCGACATTGACTATTGCCTTCAGGCTATCAAAGAGATGGGGGCGGTCGATGAGGCGCTGCACATGGCTAATGAACACTGTCGACTGGGTGTTGTGGAGTTGGAAAAGCTTCACTCCTCGCCAGCGCGGGATGCGTTGGAAGCCTCTCTCAAACTCGTCTCCGAGAGACGGTTTTAGTGTATTTTACTCCAAATCAAAGCATATTAATATAATTTTGCTGTAAATAAACCTTAACAAAATGGATGTGACACGTAATTAGATGGAAGGAGGAGGTCTGGTGGACTAAAGTCGAAAGGGCATGGTAAATTTGTAGGTTTCTAATCCAAGAGTATATAGATAAATAAATATTCGTTTTGCATGCATAGCATGAATGTGGTACCTTTTATTTTTATGTTTCTCTGCTTGGTAGAAAGCAGGTATAAAAAGTGAGGGACCGAATGGAGCTTCGCGGCTCTCGGTTTACTGAATAAACTACGCGTCAATGCAACTCATTGTTCGCGTATGTCTTCTAAAGTGGCAGCTGCTTTTCGTCTTTTACCCTTATTAGTTCACACGACATACAATGACATATGCATCAAGATGTATGATTTAAGTTAGTATATATATATATATATATATATCGGATGAAAGATAAACTCATGAATCAACAAATATGCTAACTACTTTTTAAAATTGTCCATAATACAATTAAATTATCCAAATGCATCCACAAAAAGAATTTCTCTCTCTCTATCTGTACATATATACTTATATTTATGTCTTGACTCGGAATTAATAGCATTTGTGTGTGACCCATACACGTAAGCGAATTTTTTTAAAAACCAACTATTTTCGAAAAACACTAAAAGCTCACTGAGAGACAGTAACAACAATGATGCGTCGTATCGCCTTCAGAGTTGCGGCCGTCTCGAGGCCCGTCACGGTGTCCGCCTCCGTGCTCCCCTCCATGTATCGCGGGGTGAGTACAACTCCAACCCTTGAGATGGACAAGATTATGAGCAAAATCAAGTCTGAAGGTATTTTTGATACCCCGATGATCAAAGATACCCTCTCGCGCTTTGTGAACAGCCTTTCCTCCACCACATACCTGAAGCACGTCACCCCCGAAGAGGTCAGCAACCACGTTCTCGGTGTCCTCAACGCTGAGGCATCCCAAAAAATGGGCAATGCCTATGAGTTCGCGCGCGAAGACAACCACTCCGCCTTCTACATCTGCAAAAACGAGCCGGAGAGCATCATACGGAATGTACGCAGGATGGCCAAGTATACGTCGCGGCCTGATATTCCGGAGAATCACAGTGTAGTCGTGCGCTCCTTCCATGCAGAGAACCCCTCCATGGTCATCTACACCGTTTCCTTCGTCCCCTTCGACGTTCCCAAACCGGATGAAAGCGAAACCAAGGCAGAGAAGCTGATCCCAAAACAACTGCTCAAAAACCTCTCGGAGGAGAAGCTCAAACGCCTGCAGAGGCTCCTCGATCGTCGTCCGAACTCCGTCTTCCCGGTGATCGACACCGTCGAGGACAGCAGGAGCAAGGATACTATTCTCTTCACCATGGCTACGTGTGCGGATAAGACCAACTACATCGTCTCCTTGCTGAACGTCTTCCAGGAGATCAAGGGAAGCGAGGTGATCCGCGTTAGCACCTGCACCCTTGTCAGTGGCGACCGAGTATACTCCATGATCATCAAGGGCGCGACGCTAGAGCAGGTTAAGGAACAAGCATCGATGGTGGGTTTACTCTCATCGAAGGCCGCCAAGCCGATTGTGCGGATGTATGAATCGGGCATGCTGACCTGCGAACAGGCCGTCTACATCGACGCCGCGTTCATTTTCTCGTTCTACTTCACACAGATTCCCGTCGACGACACCTACCGCCACCTGCGCACGGTGCTTGAGAACGTCCCCCACGGCATTAACTGGTTGAACTCCATGCGCAACTCGCTCGCCCAGGAGACGATGTCGGAGCACTACATGGGAAGCCTAATCGAGAACTACCCTCAGTTCGTGCAGCTTATCTACGAGGACTTCCAGAAGGGCTCGACGGCGGAGCGACGAGCCTCCATCGCGGAGCAGATCGTGCAAAAGCTAGCCGACGACGGCCGGCTTCCACACGACGTTGCCATTTTCATGAGCCTCCTCAAGTTCAACGAGGTGGTGCTGAAGCACAACTTCTTCAAGACGGAGAAGGCCGCACTCGCGTTCCGGCTCGATCCGAGCTTTTTGAAGGATCTGGAGTATCCACTGGTGCCGCATGGCGTCTTTCTTTTCGCCGGCGGCCACTGGCGTGGTTTCCACATCCGATTCACCGACATCGCCCGTGGTGGGGTCCGTCTGATTGTCTCCAAGCCGAACACCTACAGCAAGAACAAGCGCACCGTCTTCCAAGAGAACTACAACCTTGCCTTCACGCAGCTGCTTAAGAACAAGGATATCCCAGAAGGAGGGAGCAAGGGCACGATCCTTGTCTCCAGCCGCTTCCTCACGGCCTTTGACGAGGCCGCGTGCAAGCGGATATTCCTCCAGTATGTGGACGCGATGCTCGACCTCATGATTCCCGGCGAGCCTGGCATCGTCAACCGCCTTGGCCAGGATGAGATCATCTTCCTCGGGCCGGATGAGTACACCGCCGGGAGCTTCCCCTCCGCGGGCGCCCTCCACAGCAAGAAACGCGGCTACGTCAACTGGAAGAGCTTCACAACCGGGAAGGATCCCGATATGGGGGGGATTCCGCACGACGTCTACGGCATGACCACGCGCAGCGTGCGCACCTTCGTGAATGCCATCTACCGAGAGCTCGGGCTCGATGGCTCCAAGATGCGGAAATTCCAAACCGGCGGCCCCGATGGCGATCTCGGCAGCAATGAGATTCTGATGAGCAACGAGGTGTTGATCGGGGTCGTCGACGGCTCCGCCTCGCTGCACGATCCGAATGGGCTGAATCGGGAGGAGCTTCTCCGCCTCGCCTGCGGCCGTATGCCGCTTGCGAAGTTCGACCGCTCGAAGCTCTCGAAGGACGGCTTCCTGGTTCTTGTCGATGACGTGAACGTGACGTTGCCGGACGGGACGCTCGTGAAGAAAGGCGTGCAGCTCCGCGACGAGTTTCACTTCCTGAAGTACAGCGACGCGGACGTCTTCGTGCCGTGCGGGGGGCGCCCGCGCAGCATCACCCTCGAGAACGTCGCCCGCCTGCTGAAGATGAAGGGGGTGGATGGGGAGGATATGCTGCAGGGCCGCGTGAACCCGACGCCGAGCCAGCTGAAGTATAAGATCATCGTGGAGGGCGCGAACCTCTTCATCTCGCAGGACGCACGGCTCGCGCTGGAGCGCTGCGGCGTCGTCTTGATCAAGGATGCCTCCTCGAACAAGGGTGGCGTCACGAGCTCCTCCTTGGAGGTCTTCGCCGGGCTTTGCCTGTCCGACGAGGAGCACGCGAAGTACATGTGCGTGCGCGATGAGTTGAACCCCCCGCTGTTCTACAAACGCCTTGTGGAGGAGATCGTCGCTCGGATCGAGAAGAACGCGGAGAATGAGTTCAACGCGATCTGGAGTGAGTGGAAGAAGGACCCGTCGAAACCCAAGACCCTCATTGCCGACGCGCTCAGCAGCAAGAGCGTGAAGATCCGCGCGGACATTCTGAAGAGCGACATCTTCGCGGACAAGAAACTGGTGCGGCATGTGATGATGGAATACGCGCCGAAGACACTCCTCGAGGTGGTGCCCATCGACAAGATGCTGCAGCGCGTACCGGAGGTTTACCAACACGCTATTTGCGCGATGTGGTTATCCTCTAACTATGTCTTCAGTGGCAGGGCGAACAGCAATGAGTTCGACTTCTTCAAGTTCCTGACTGAGGAAATCAAGCGGATGAATGCAAAGTACGAGTAAGGGCAAAGAGGGTGAGGCCTCTATCGAACTGTGAGTTCGCTTGCGATTAGGTAAAAACGGAACCGATGTTTTCATTTAAGTATACATGGATGGTGGTTTTTATTTTCATTGTTCGTTCACGAGGGAAGAGGGGTCTTCGATTAGAAAGCATGAGTGGTGTTTCGAAGGAAACCATATTTCCAGTTCACACATCTCTTCATCATGATATTGGCGCGCATTATCGCTTTTGCTTTTCCTAATCGTTTTTACACGAATTCTTTTCTGTTCAATGTTTTGAATTCTCGTAAATATTTTCCCATATTGATATACATATATATATATATATGCATGGCAAAAGTTTGTAGCCCGTAGACTGAGTGCTCTGATTACTTTGTTAAAATAAGGAAAAAAGATGCTGCGCACGAACAATATCATTTGCATCAGTTGGGTATTCTCTCATTGAATTTAAAGGTACACATTTGTTTAGTGTATTTTTTCTCAGTTTTACTCAAAAATACCTTTGTCTTTTTTTTAAGGTATTTTGATTTTTTATTATTGTTTTTAATCGATTAGAACGCTGTCATTTGTAGTTTCTTTTGAGTATAGCATCTGGGTCTTACCCTCTTGTCTACGCTAATCAATGATGAGAGGATGAACGACGATGAGTTGGAAGGAAGGCAAAGGCCTGAAGATATGTCTTATATGCATATTCGTTAATTGTCCAAATGTAATGAATATCTCTAGTCTTACTTTGTTTCATTTGTTTTCAAATCGGAAATATTTTTTTTTTTTAAATGAGCATCAATTTTCTTTTATTTTCTTCTTCGAATATCCCTGAAAAAATGTCCTAAAAAAGCAGCTAATTGCATTTCCTCAATATTTTGAAGTGTGTGAGCGCGTCCGTCGGTGTAGTTGTGTATGCTCATATTTGGTGTCAATGGATTGAGGAACTAAGGTGAACAATCATCATCATCAAATCTTCTTTCTAAGTATCCAACTTTGAGGCCCATTAGGTAGCGCAGCAGGTGTTTGTACGTGTTTCTGGTAAAGGGGATATTTTCTTTTCTAATACATGTTCACATCAATGTGGATCAAGAAAAATACTGTTTAATTTTGTTCAATGATGGAGATTACTGATGAGTAAAATTACATGGATGTTTTACTAGATTCAAAAAAAAAAATTAATACTTTTTTTTTTCCGAAAAACGAGTATCGTATTAAATCGCTTATATTTGAAAGATGCTTCAGCTAATTTGTTAGGATCCAACATTATTTCGATTTTTTCGACTGGAAATTTTTTTTGGAGGAGTAATGAGAAATGAAGGATGAAATGTTTTATATATGAGGTAAAATTAGTAATTGAATAAGTTCAAATTGTTGGTAGTTAGAGCGTTTATAAATGTTTAAGTATACATTTATATTTATACTTTATGATTATTTCCATAACCTTGAGTTTTCGGTGTAATGCATAACCTATGACTCTCGCGAGAGACTATGGATAAGAAATGTCTGGTGCCCTGTGATTATTAGATCATTAAATATGTTATATATATATATATATATATATATA